GCAAACTGCTTTGGTTTTGGAATTAGGAAACTAGGTTTCTCCTCCTCCTACAGGGTTCAGCTATTGTCATCTCTTCTATGACATCTTTATTAACACCTCACTCCTTCCGCCTCACCATGTAGAATGGACTGCCTGCTTTCCTTTCCTACTGTATGCTATATATACAATAACTACAGCACTGTATTGCTGTTTAAAAAATCACTTATTTGTTCTGTGAGTTTGGGCAAGTAAATGCATCTTTCTGATTCTCAGTTTCTTTGTTTGCAAAATACAGATGCCTGCCTCCTGGCGCCGGTTTGAAAGTTGAATAGAATGACGTGTATAATGTAACTCATGTAGACAAGGTATACACAGAGACTTGGCAAATATGATGTTTCTGTCCTTCGATAGCAGCAAAAGCTTGGAGAGGAGAAGGCCGAATGTATCTTAGTGGAAGGGGAACGGAGCAGAGAGACATCCCAGGGTCTCTGTAGAGGAGGGCGAGGAACTCACACTGGAAATGCTCCTAGGCCTCCATCCTGCTGGCAGCTGAAAGTCACTGCCCATGTGGCACACTGCTAGTTTCTAAAATCAGTATCTTCATTTTTTCCCCTTCAGTTTATTCAATGTCAACAAAAATTTGAAAATTGTACCAAACATATGACACTTAAATCAGATTTATGAAATTCCAGTTTAGCCAACTTAATATTTTAAATCAAACAAGGAAAATGAAAAAAAAAAACACTAATTTTATGTGGATACTTTCTATTGAAAATCTACAAATGATTTTTTTTTTAATTTGAAAGAATCAGACGCTCATTTTTCTGACCATAAGTTTTACCATTTGTAAATATAGTCGAAGAAAAGAAAAAAATCTAGTAGCTTCAGAACTCAAAAAATTGGGGAACAAAATCACTATGTTTAGAAGAGTGTCCAGGAATGAAGTAGTTTAAAATTAGTCTATTACAGTTTTAAATTATTTAAATTTAATGTCTAACTTGTTCAAAGTCTATGTGACAATTTTGTTTCTAGCTAGAGATGTTCATGAATGAAAAATAGTTAGTAGATACATTTATAGGTATGAAAACCATAAACTGGCATAAGGAATCCTCTGTTTAGGTCTGGTAAATGCAGACATTGTAAAGTAAGGAATATGCAGTGAGTAACTGAAATTTAAATTGCTTGGAACCCACAGGCGTCCTGTAGTCAGAAAAAATGCAGTTGATATCTGTTCAGCAACCACTGTATACTTGTAACTTCACTCATTATTTTTATTCTTTTATCAAACAAGAAAAGAAAAAGAAGGGAACGAAGGAAAACAAACCATGCTTTATCCATGCTGAAAACTCCGAGAACAGTGTATGGCCTCAACTTTGGAAGACAGTAGGTGAAATCTCTTGAGAGGAGGGAGTGGATTAAAAAACCTAAAACTGAGGGGAACAATATAGTTAGATCACCTCTCTCTAAGTCTCTTAACCATCCTCTTTAGATTGAAATCCAGCCCTTTCCTCAAAGACCATGCTTTTGTGATATATTTTGACCCACAGTCATTAAATACGCGCTTGTACACAAACAGAACAAGGGATCTTTTTCCTCATCCTTCATGAAACCTTCCTGCATTGAAGTAAAAAGTCGTCATTCAAAAAGGAAAAAAAAAAAAAAAAACACTTCGTTAAGACCTATTGTTCTTATCCGGTGGCGGTCTAAGCCAAACTGGCCCCGGCCTTCTTTATTTCCCTAAAGAGGATCACAGTGAGGATCCGAAGAACTCTGCAACTGAATTAATCCGAAAACCCCATGGGACTCCGGGAGAAAGGAAGGAACTTGATTTGGGCGTTAATTATAGTAGCATTTTCACCAACGCTACAGGTCAGGCAGTGCTTCGATTGGGTTTAAAAATCCACGTGCAAATTTCACTCTAGAGAACTCCTAATTCTTACCTTAAAGTATATATCAAAGGAGGACTGAAAACAAAATCAGTTTCTCAGGAAACAATAAGCCCCTGCAGCAGTTAGCCTGGGGTCTATAGCATTGCTCAATGATGGTGCTTTATCTTAGGGAGGGAGAAAAGTACGATGTTTTTGGTGCTTTTCTGAATTTATAATCTCCCATTCAGGGCTGTGGTGGCCAAAGGAGGGCCTTGAGCAGCAACCGGTGCAGCCGCAGCAGAGAGAGTTCTGCAAGGGGATGGGGGGTGGGGGAATCGCCCCTGGAGGGATTCAGCATTTGTGAACAGCAGCCTGGAGAATCCTGACATTGCCAGAAAGTTGTTCACCAAGAAAACCAGAAAAATAGATACAGTAAACTGTTGTGATGCTTCTTTTTTTTTTTTTTAATGCACCTCAACACGGCTTTAATCTGAGAACTACAATAACAAAGAGATGGACTTACAGGTTCATCATATCAAAGAGGTAATCATTTGTGATTCTGCAATATTTTAAGGTTAGAAAATCAAAATCGTATATCTTCAATCACTTCATTTAACCAAAATGTGGCTTGGGAAAAAAAAAAAAACCCACAAACCATAGCTTTCTGGATGTAAAGCATTCTGTTAACACTGCTGCTCAGTACCTTGCTTTATTTTTTTGGTATGTTTGTGTGTTGCATCCAGAGCTACAGGTTTTGCACAGTGCTTTTCTGCCTCATTCAAGTACAATAAAAGTAGAAATCTATAGAAGCTCTAAAGTTAAACAAACTGTACAACATACAAAAAATTAACTTAATTTACAGTCAAAAAGTATTGGCAATGCCCTTTATAAATCTTAGCAAAGATTCAGTTGTGATGCTTCTTTTACTACATCCCCAATCTTTTCAGCTGGCAAAAGACATAACCTGTGTATGTAAGCTGGGAACAATGGTATCCGAGTTTTTCCACTTACTGCCCACTAGGGTTGTAATTCAGAGTTCTCTCCACGCAGAAACCACTAAAAGGAGGAGGAGAGTTGAGCAGGGAAAGAACCTGGAAGGTGGAAGAGCAAATGTAGATGGGTCTCCTTTTTTTAAACCTGCTGCAACCATGTAATCAGAAATGCTTATTTATCAAATGCTTTCACTTTCTCATATGATGCCTGGAAACTTAACTGGGGAAAAAAAATAACCTAAATATTGTCAATTCCTAAGTATTAAACTACCTCAAAGCAACCAGATTCAGGAAAATTATTGATATCATATAGTGAGTAAGTCTATCAAAGTACTGATGACAATATGAAGGAAAAAGAAGATCGAGTTATTTTTTTTTTAAACACAAATGTATGGGGATCCCATAGTTTATAGATTAAAAAAAAATCTAACTGGAATCTGAACAATGCTTTCCCTTATCTCCTCACAGTTTTAATAAGCTACTAAAATGTTAATAAGACTAGCTTATGACAAAAAATGCTAAAAACATATTTTGTCAGTTTAAGCATGTAGCCCATGAGTATTTTAAAGAGTTTTATCTGAATTTTGTAGTTTTTTAAAAAAGTGAACTCATCAGTCTGGCACCTATAGTGAGAAAGGCCTTTCTTTGTTCTCCAGGTGGGAATTTCAGACCATGTGAAACCAACCCAAAGGTTACTACTGGCATCCTTTGTTACAAATGCCGAGGAGGAGACTGATACAGAAAATGCAAACAAGAAAAGGCACAGGGTCTGGCTCATTCCCCTGAGGTAGCAGAGAGGAAATTTCTAGAGAGATTGGGTTTCGGTTTTGTATAATTACACACTCCATTGGATTTAATTATTTCATAGTTAAATTCCTGGAAGACAAATGTATCCTCAGTTATATACCTTGACTTTCTTTCCAGTATAATCACATTTTTCTAGAAATAGCGTCGTAGGTAATGTTCAAAGTGTGGTAGGAAATGAGAGCTCTCTATGCAAAGTGTTTTTGTCTGTTATTTAGCTGAGCTTATTTTGTGTGAAAAATTAAACCTCGGTTACGGCTCTTTATTTTCACGTCGTAGGTCCCTGTTCTTGTCTCCTCTAGCTTTCTGAGGCTACTGTTGGACTTTTCAAGGTCTGATTAAGAGGCCATTTAAAGGGTCAGCTCCTGCCTGAGCCACCCCACCGGGCAGGCAGTATTCCGGCAAGGAGATGAGGTTTTGAAAGATTTAACTCAGAGGCCAGAGATTTCAATGTAAGGTCAGACATTCTGTAACTTTTCTCCGTGTGAGTTTGACAACTTCGCCTGTCTAAATTAGGTTTAAAGCAGGTCGTTGCCAAGTGTGGTCATGGGAAGAACTCTGGTGGGACACCTGGTTTCTTTCTAGGTCTAGCTCTGCCACTAATTTGCTACGTGACTCAAACATTCATTCAGCATTTATCCAGCATGTGTGAATGACTCTCTTGTGGCAGACTGATGGTGTGTTGTTGGTTTTCTTCTTAAATGTTGGAAAGAACTACAGCATAGTAGCCGAGAGCAGGTCTTTGCAATCAGATAGAGCAGCTTTGCAGCGAATAGATTCCTGCTCACTTGCTTAGTCTCTCCAGGCCTCAGTGGCCTTATTTATAAAATGGGGATAATAATTTATATTTCACAGATTTGACTGAGACTTAAAAGAGTTAATCAAGGCAATGTGCCTAGTATAGTGCCTGGCCAATTAATTCTAAGTGCCTTTCAAGTAGTTGCGGCTCTATCACATTGAGAAAGGAGAGTCCATAGGGTTCAGTGGATTTTCACTGAATTGAGAACCAGAGGATCTGGTTTGAGTCCTTGGTCCACCACTGGCCTTGGCCAAGTAACTTAAGCTTTTCCAGTCTGGATCCATATCTGCACAGGTTAGAGAAAGTTTACCTTCCTCAGAGTTCTTCAGTGGATTAAAATAGATGGATGTGAAAACAGTGCCTTTAGTCAATCTCTTTCACTCCCACCTTTCAGCATCTAGAAAGAATGTTGTAAAATACAATTCTGGTCTTGTTTCACATTTGTCAATGGATCCCAATTTTCTCCAGAATTCAGTCCAATTCTATTGGCATGGCATTCTAAGCCGTACACCCCAATCTCTCTCTTACGCTATGGTTGTTGTTTCAACCCGCCTTTCCATTGTCTCCAGCTAATTTCCAGTCACATTGAACACATTTTCTTGACTTTTACTTCTTTGCCTTTGCACAGCTTTTTTTCTACTGCTGAAATGTCCTTCTTCATTTTTACTTAGTAAACCCCTCTCATCATTTGTCATGGCGCTTGTGTATTCTCTGCTGGCTTTCCTACTGCTTCCATGGGAGTGAGTTCTTTACTCCTCTGATATGGCAGTTTGTTGATGCCTGCATTCCAGAAAGGACACATGGCCTTGAGATTTTTATCAACATGTATATTCCTTTAAGAATAGGAATAGTGTTATTATATTCATTTTTGTATCCCAAGATGCTTAGAAAGGGCCTGGCGTGTCTTTGACATTCAATAAATTATTTTTAAACAAAAGAAAGAAGGAAAGAAAGATAGCATGAAAGTTATAATTACCGTTTAATTCATTTTTACTGTAACAGACAAAACCATGGTTTTTGAAGTTAAAGAAAGAAAAGGCCACAGCCATGTGACACACATTGCCCCAAAGATGCAGTCTGGGCTGAGCTGGCACTTCAGGCAAGAAGAAGCTCTTGCAAGTCAGCTACTTTTAACAATTGTAATTTCAACGTTTATTGGTATTAAAACAACAAAGTGGTGAACCTTTTCTTCCTTTTAGTACATATCGATAATACAGAGATGTTTCTAAGGAAAAATCATTAACTAATTAAAAAATGAATTAAGTGTGCCCGTGTAATCAATATAAGGATTTTTCTTGGTTTGGGTCTTAATGGAAAAACCATAACTGATCTTTATAATGACTTGAAAACAAACTCTGGTCAGCTGTCATAAAATTTCAACCTAAATGACTAAAAAGTAATTACCAACTCAGTGAAAAAAAAATTGATGGTGGTAGGGAGGAGAATAGGGAGGTATAATGAGAAAACAAAGTTTTATGGCTTTGAAGAGACCGCCAATATGGCAGGCAATCGTGTGCAGGCCTGACTTTCTGACTCTTTCAGAAGTCATCCCCAAGTAATGTTTTGGGGTAAGATAAGTTTTATTTGTGTCTGTTTCCAGTTTCCTTTCTTATCTTGTCCTTCATACCTAGCAGTATCAAATATTTTTGCTATTGGGTCCCCCCAACTCCTCCCAGGTAGGTCTCAACTGGTCTGTGACTCTCTGAAATGACCCAAGTCCCCTTTCCACTGCATTTTCTTCTGGAAATGGAAATCAATGGACCTTTTCAGCAGTTCTCAACTCCAGGGAACTGCTAAGCAAATCCACCCTAGGGTGCAGCCCTCCTGGGGGTTTTGCATTTGAACAGAGATCTGTGTGTTAACCAAAATGCATTTCTAAGGGATAGAATTTCAAGAGGTGTGAGAAAGTGAAGTGTGGAATTTCATGTGTTTTGAGGAAAATGATTTTAGCCTTGGAAACCTTCTCAGTACTTTGTTACTCAGGCACTTCTCGGCCATGGATTGTTGCCACTGCACTTCCTGTGGCTCAGGAAGTTGGAAAAGCTGGGAGGAAACATTGCAGCTGGGGGCTGTGGGGCAAGAACTGGTGGTTAATGGTCATATGCAAGCGATGAGAACTGGTAACATATAATACAGGGGCTGTGATGCTTTAACTTGCTTTTTGCCTACAGTCACGAATAATATTCCCTGAAGCCCAGTAGCAAGGTTGCTAGTATATACTTTAAAAATTTACTATTTTCCTAGACAGGTGTGATGAAAACAGAACAGCTGGCCTCTGATTGCTGGTCTGGAGCGGAGGACAGACTTAGGGAAATGGTCCTGTGCTTTCATTAAGCCATTAGGTTTTACTTTAACCAGAGAGTGAACGATGCCATTGTAAATGCCAAGCGAGTCTCTTAAAAGAAGGAGGCAAAATCACTATAAAAAGGAACTCTGATGTTGACCAGCATAAAATCATGGAGTCCAAATCTGGGAGAAAATTCAAAGATCATCCTCCTCCTATCTTCTCCAGGATGCTATCACTTGAAGAAGTAGGAGCACAGAGCAGAGGAAATAATTTTGTTTTAGGATCCAAAAAAATCTACATTACTCCTTCAATGTTACCCTTCACTATTTGCATGAGCTTAGATAAGTCACTTTTTTATATGAGGAGGGGGTAAACTGAGAGTCAAAGGCCAAGATCCACTCCAAAGATAGGTTTGGTTTTTCCCACAGTATTTAGAAAAATTGGAAAATTTCATCTAAAAACTGGATTTCCAGTTTCTCTTGAAAAAAAGCGGGAAAATAAGTTGATACTAAGCCTGCATTTTTCACAACAATGTTTGATCAGAGCTGAGTATCGCCACCCCCTGGAACTGGAACACATGGTGTCTTGGCCACTGTCCTCGTCACTCTCTGTTGTCTTATCCTGGCCATTTTGCTCATTCACCCTCTTAGACTCTCTGTAAAGCACTAAGTTTGCAGCCTCAGAGCCAGACATTCACATATCCATTTTATTATCTGTAAAATGGACAGTGGGGAGGGTGACAGGCAATACTAGAAAAGTAGTTTCCAAATTTAGTTGATTATAAAAATAATTTGGCATATTAAAAATACAAATTCCTGGGTTCCATTTATGTCAATTCTGCTTCATAAAGCATGGGATGAGAAAAGTCTATTTTTTTTTTTTAATTCTTCAGCTTGTTCCAGCAATAAACTAGGATTAGAATCCTGATTTAAATGATCTTTAAAATTCTAGCTCTAAACTTCTGTAAATCCAACTAACCTCCAAATTCTAGTTTGAACAATTCTTTTTCAGGTCAATCAACCTTATGCATTTAAGGCTGTGGTGTCATTATTAAATCCAATTAGCCACTGAGTTAAATTTTTTTTCAATCAGACTTAGGCTATTTACCATAGCCTCCCCCCAAACTGTGATCTGAATAGGAACAAAGGGACACGGGGAGTGAATAATACTCATCCATCACTTCCACATTAAAGTGACTTATTCACACAGCAGGTAAATCTTCCCACAGCCTAGTCTCACTCTTCTGAGGATCTACATATTAAAAAAAAAAAAGTTAGGGGAGAAGGGAAATCCTTATCAGTGCACCATTTGAGTGTAAATAACAGGAAGGGACATTTAGGATATTCAGGATTAAGGGAACTCTGATAACAGGCACATTTCACTTGGGCCTTTTAAACTTATGTTAAGAACAGTTTCTTAGAAGCATGCAAAAAAAAATACAGGAAGGATTTAAATTTGATGCAGTGAGGTCTTTAAAAATTTGGCACAAGTCTTTTTTGTTCTTCCAGCTCACCCTTCAAGGTATCACAGTGTGAGAGAATGCAGACTTCTGGCTCGGACTGCCTAATATCAGAAAACTCTGTTGACTGATGGATGTGGACAAGAGGCTCAGGGGGCTGAGCGGTTTCTATGGAGATGGGAATTAGTGAGGAAGTGCTTTCCTTTTGATTATTCTCCATCCTAATAGGGACAATTGCAACCATTTATCTTTTTCTGAAAGAATAAGGACATCTCTGGGAACAATAGCAAGGACTTGAGTGAGACTGTACCATGTGAAATACCCTAAAAGACCAATCTGCTGCTTTTTGCAATGTAAATCATAAATTCTTTGATGGTGGCCTTTCCCTACGAGGTATGACTTTGATCATGTCAGAAAACAAAATCAAGAAACCCATATTAGTTTTAGATATATGTTTTGTAATATTTTAAATATGATTATAATATCTTAACATTAAGATGTGTACTAAATATTGGTAATGATAATAGCCAGAATTCATATGTAGCCTCTGGACAACACATAATACTTTCCTTGTGTCTGAGAAGTAAGAGAATTATAACCTTCATTCCTAGTTTCTTGATGAAAAAACTAAAGCATATGTTTTTCATAAGTTGCAGAAAATGAATGTGTGAATACAATGAATGTTTTTGGAATCCAGATCTAGTGACTTTTCCTGCTGTATTCCCATTCATGTTTTTCCTTCTTATTCTTGGGTAATAGGTAATTATAACACAGTTGAATTAAATAGAAATATATAAAGCAAAAGGTGAAAGTTATACAAATTCCACTACTCAGAGCTAACAACTATTATCTTTTTAGCTGATATCCTTCCAGATTTTTTTCTTAGAGCATATATATATATATTTTATATATACACATGGACACACACATATGTATATGGATTATTTATTTACTTATATTTCATAAGAATGAGTTCCTATAAGTTATGTAGTTCTGAAGGTTATTTTTTTTCTTGACAAATATCATTGGTTTTTTTTCTAGGTGAGCACATCCGGGTCTACGTCTTTTAAAAAAATGGCTGCATGGTAATTCATTACATGGATGTACAATAATTTATTTAATCATTTTCTTATTTGTGACATTTTAAGTTGTCTTCTCTTTTTTTCTTTTTTCTTTCCTTTTCTCCCCCTTCCACTTCTCTCTCTCTCTCCCTCCCCTCTTCGTCATAAACGCTGCTGTAATTAATTGTAATTAGAAGTTTGGTAAGTACTATCAATATGTCCTCTAAACAGGGCCCAGGTTTCATTGCAGCAAAACTTGTGAGAAGGCTCCTTCTCAACATGCTGATGAACACTGGATGGTTTTAATGAAAAAAGAAAAAAACGTCCTTCTAATGATATAATGCAAAGCAGTAGCTTATGGTCCCTATAGGTACTTCTTTGGTTATTATTGAGGTCATTTTGAAAAATAATGCTAGAGCCTTCTAACTCCAGTGGTTCTCTACCTTGCTTGCCCATAGAATCTGTTGAGAATTTGTAGAATTTCTGATGATCAAGCCAAGGCTACCATTAAATGACAACCTCTGGAGGTGAAGTCTCAGGTCTCCATACTTTTTAAAGCTCCTCAGATGAGTCCAGTGTGCATGGCTGGCTTCATGGCCCAGTGCTTAAAGGGAATCCATGATAATTTTAAGGCTCTACTTGTCACCGTCTTGGAATTTATGACAATTTTATCTTTTAAAATGTGTTTTTTAACGTGAAGGTTGATGGAACAATGGAGCATGCTTGTGTGCAGAGGAGACGTGTGTAGTGTGCGCGTTGCTGTTCCTTGCTACGCCTTTCTCATATAGCCTTTGCCTGTTGCCCTTTGAGCGCTGAGTTCTGGGGGACCCAGATGTGTGGGAGTTCAGCGACACTCAAAGTGAGTACAGTTAAGAATGCTGCATCTGCAACTGAGTCACTGGGGGGATGCCAGTGCAGAGAGGCAATATTTTCCGTTCAAACCAGAACTCTCTTCAAACAGAGAAAGAAAGCAATGATGGGTTAAGAACTACAAATGACCACGGAGCCATATCAAATCCTTTCTCATTATCTCACTTCCTTACATTAGCCATTTTATTTACACTGACACTTTCCCTTACATAGAAGACAGGAAAAGATAGAGCAACCCATAGTACCTTTTTCTCATAGACTGTTAGAAGCTGGGACCCTCAACACTCCTATGACTTGTCCTACGCACGGGCTTCGCCCTGGAAAATTCCTAGGACAAAAACAGCACCCCACCCTCCAGCTATAGCTCCGAAAACAATGCGTTCCATGACTTGCTGACCGCAAGATGCTCCAGGGTGTGCTAACTGCAATTGTTCCCGACCACCTGCCAGGTTGGGGTTGAGTAATCAGTCACAAACAGCCTCGATACTGATAAGATGCTGGTTGGGGCTAATTAGCCCAAACCCAAGCCTCATCGTCACCCCACTCTATTTTTCTGTTTCTACTTCCTTGCTTCTGTATGCTTATAAAACCTACTAAGAATCTAAGTAAAGTAGACCTTGACAACCATTTGCTTGGTCTCGTTCCTTTCTCTCACCCATTTCTTTCAGGCATGGTCCCCCTTGACTTCCACGAGTAACAGAAGGTCCCGCGGGCCGGGACAATAGACTTTCCTTAATCATATGTAAACTGAAGGTATAAAAGTAGAGAATGTTGGTAGACTGTGTATGAATCTAAAAGTGAAATAAAGATAATTCATTTAGTTTCATGCATCACATCTGCTGTTCTGGTAAGAATAAAACATTACACGAACTATGAAATGTAAATTGTGTAATTTTGGTGATTCTGCATATGAATTAAATGCTCTTATATTTGCCTTCAAAACTGCCAGTGTATAATATAAAGCACATGATATATTTCATCCTAATAATTTGAGATTTTAATTTTTCTTTACTTAAAATATTATTAAACAGTGTGTAACAGGGGTGGAGAGGTGTGATACCTTTTCTCACCCATTGTAAGGGTCATGACCAATACTCCTATAATAAAAGACAGATTAACAAGAGAAAAGCATGATAAATGTATTTAATCAAATTTTACATGACATGGAAGCCTTTAGAAACGAAGACCCAAAGGGAAACCTAGGGAAAGTTGTTTAAGTTTGACGAAGAATGGACAGCCATGTAGAAATGTGATTAGATCAAAGGGTATAATCTAATGGGAACAGACTGAAGGAGAAACCCAACAAGTCCTCTCTGCTCTGATTCTTTTTGGCCTCTCTGTACCGCATTTCTTTGTTGGGGCTCAGAAAACAATACCCCAAAGTGAAGGCTTATATAGCAGCCTCAGGTGCAAAGTCTCTCTCTGACCCTCTTCTGCCCTCCTGTCTCTCACCCCTCGTTCTCCCCTGAGGCTAAGCATAGAAACTAGAATCCCTCTTCCCCAAGATGGGTCATAGAAAATAGATCTCCTTTTCTCCAAAGGCAGCCATACATCCTAGAAATGTTTCTCTAACCTTCCCCTACCTTTGTGTGTAATAGCTGGCCATTCCAGAGGAGTCCTCACCCACGCCTAGGAGGAAGGAGGGCACACAGAAAGGCCAAGAAGAATCTGAGCAAACAGGCCTTGCTGGGTTCCCCCACTCAGCCTGTTAACATTATAGCATACCCTTTTAGTCCAATCATATTTCTGCACAACTGTCCAGTCTTCATTGAACCTAAGCATAAAAATGGAAAGTTATCCCTGTACCGTTCAGTCTTCATTCTGAAGGTTTCCATGTCATAGGAAACTATGATCACATAAATTTGTCATGCTTTTCTCTTGTCTTTGTTATAAGGGTTTCAGCCATGACCTTTACCATGGGGAGGGAATGGGTCACCCTCTTTCTGCCCTTACACCCTGCACCTGGGTATGAGGCAGGACCTCTCTGGAATGAAAGTCCTCAAGGGAGAAGGGAGGAGGGAGAGAATGGCCTTTCTAGGTTTTATGTCTTGCATTGGGAGAGAGGGATTGTAGTTTCTATGACCCAACTTGGAGAATAGGAATTCTGGTTTCTATGACTTGGCTTTGGGGGAAAAAGGGGGACAGGGGACAAGAGGGCAGGAGAAGGTCAGAGAGACTTCAGTTCTGAGACATTCCAATCTCCTTCTAGTTCAAAGTACTCAGTATGCCAAGGTGCCATACTTTGGGGTATCATGTTCTAAGTCCTGACAGTAGAAGCTAAAAAACACTATTACTAGTGGAGAGACAGTACGGAAGAAAACAAATACAAAAAAAGCTACTTCATGCTTTAGGATCCTTTTTCTCTGTATGGGAATAAGGGACCCCATTTTTTTTTTTTTTGCAGTGGCCTGCAAATTATGTAGCCAGCCCTGCCCCACCAAGGTACAGTCAAGTTTGAGAATTACTGGTCTACTCTTACCTTACATAGTATAACGGTCTCTCCCCGTCCCATGTAACTGTGTTTCATTGTACTTCAGTTGCTTATGGTTTACTTTAAGGGGAATGAACTTCCCTCCCACCACTCCCAGAAGAAAGCTAGAAATTCAGGAGCTGTAAAGAACATAGAAGCATACGTGTACAATTGCTATTCTGACACAAGGATCAGTGGTAGAATTCAAAGTAATTTAGATTATATTTTTAAATATAATTATAGGATATATTGTACCATTCTCAGTGCATAATAAACTCCACAAAGACATGATTTTTGTACTCTTCCCAAGAACTAGTAGAATGCCAACTGCACAGCAGATGCTACATAAATATTGCTGAATTAATTAATCACAAAGTTTGCAAAGATCTAGTATTTTAACATTTAAGGTTACCCCTCTCACATAGATATGCATTCAGGTGAAATATTACCTACTGCCTGATTAATAATTCATTTTTGAGTAGTGTTGTTTTTTTTTTTCTGTGGGTTCTTAGTTCTCACTCTGCCTCTTAGAATAGCTCTGTCATCTCTTGGTTGACAGCATAAAGCTCCACGGATCACATAATTGTCTTTTGTGGCTATGATAAAGCAGTCTTTGAGGTGCATTTTTAGAGATAAAAGCTTGTTGGGAAAACAGAGTTATCTGGAGGTTTTTGGTGAGTCCTAGGAATGGAGTCCCAGGGAGGAGGAGAGGACTCCTGACTGTGTACCATGGGAGACCTTGCCCCAGCCTGGTTTCTTTGTTTGAGGACAGGAGAGGAGGCAGCCAGGAGGGACTCCCTACTGCAGGATCTGGGGCTGGGCCTTGGTTGGATAGACTTGCAGCCAGTGAGAGTGAGCACAGTGGCAACCCTTCCCTGGCACAAGATGATAAGGAGCTAAAGTGAAGGGGATGGGTGGAAGTGTCTGGACCAGTGAAAGGAAGTGATAGCTCTTTTTGTAAGAAAAAATAAATCTGAGTAATTTCCAAAATTCTGAGGCCACAAAATTAAAAGGTTTCTACATTAGATTCCGTGGACTGCTTGCCCTGAGTGTATTTTCTCCTTAAAGAGATTGAAGTTTTATTAATTGCCGAAGACTCCTGTTAGCACTAGGACACAGAGGCACTACATGCACCCAGCCAGTAAAACTTGAGGTTTTTTGACATTACATAATCAGATCAAATGGTGCTGGCCTCATGGAAATTAAAGAGAAGAGGATTATATTTAGCTTATTTTCAAACTAGTCTTAGTGAGCATCACAGACACGGATATTAATTTTATAAATGAAAAGTACACTGTTTACCATGCACAAAGGATCATTTGTGCTACCCAAATCTATGCTAATCTCCATTCCAAATCCCTTAGCAACTGTTACTTGGTTAGAAAGGTTCAATTTTCATGAAAGGAAGAAAACTTTCTGAATGTGTTGCAGCGAAATTTGGTTTTGGGGTATTAAGTTAAGATATTAAAAAATATAAAAGATTACAAAAAGTAATAAAATGAGTTTGAATTATTCTATAAATGCAACAAAATCCTCCTAAATCTGCTTCTCAAATCAGATGCTTTAACTTCTACATTGTAATAAAAGGTGGCAAATAATAGAAGTAGAAAAACATACCGATATAGCTTATGAGCTGGAAATTACAAAAAGGCTTCATGTAGTTTTCTTCAAGTAGATATTCATTCATTCATACATTTGCACACTCAACAAATTGGACATGAGTGTCTACCTTGTACTAAATTTTGGGTATATACAAAATAGATCTAGTGCCTAGCCTAAAGAGTTTATGATCTGGTGGGAATATAGACTTATAAATTATAATAAATATAATCATTGTTATGATGGAGTTATGAAGAACTTTATTCACACATTTAAAAATGTAAGCATATATATCAAAACATCATGTCATGCATCATAAACATATCCAATTTTTGTCAATTAAAAATAAAAATAAATAACAATTATGATACTGCAATGAAGTTAAATAAATTATATGAAATATATAATAACTTAAAATACTTACGTGAAATGGAAAATTTCTAGGAAAAATGTAACTTACTGATATTAAGTGGCGTTTGCCTGTAGTCCCCGCTACTCTGGAGGCTGACGTGGGAGGATGGCTTGACTCCAGGAGTTTGACTCTACCTTGAGCAACATAGCAAGATTCCATCTCTAATAATAATAATAATAGTATTGAAACAATAAAAAATAAACCAGTAAAGATATTGTAGCAGCAGTTAAAAACATAACAACAATATCAAAAAACATACAAAGAAAAAACCTACACAGGGTCCAGATCATTCCTTAGGCACATGCTTTCAAACATTTAAGGAACAGTGCATGTACTTTACAGCATGTTCTAAGTAAATATTTGTTAAACATATGAATTATTGAATAATTACTGAATAAAGAGAATAAGCAAAGAGGGAATGCTTTCTACCTCCTTTTGTGAGACCAATATAACTTGACAATAAAACCAGACAAGAACAGCACAAGAAAGAAAACTTATCTAATAACATTTATGAAATAGATGTTCATATTAGATTCACATTTATATATGTTTGCATATTTGCATGTGGGTGTGCATGTCAGTATGTGTATATAATATTATAATGTATCATGATCAAGTTGGGTTTAGCTCAGGAATATCAAGAAGCTTAAAATTAAAGACTATTATGATTCTGTACATTAAATATTAAATGACACAAACATTTATCTCAACAGACACAGAAAAACTATCTGATAAAACACCACATGCTTTCATTATAAAAGCTCTCAACAAAATAGGAATAGCAGTGAATTTCTTTTACTTGATAAAAACAATTCATCAAAATTCTATGGCCAGTAGTATGCTTAATGATGAACAGAAAAATTCCCTTTGAATTTGGGAGCAAGAGCAAGATGCTCCTTCATCATTGTCCTGAAGGTACAGGCTAGTTGTAGTAAGACAAAAAAAAAGGCATACAGATTTTTAAAAGGCAACAATACTGTCAATATTTATATATAACATTTATAAATTTGTGATTAAAACCTAACAGAATCTAAGAGAATCCAAGAGAATCTTATTAGAACTATTAAGAGAATTCAGTACATTCTGAATAAAATATCAGTATACAAAAAAAATCCACTATATTAACATGCCACAACAACAAAAAATTAGAAAAACTATAATTTGAAAGGTTACATTTTACAATGGCAATACCAACTTTAATGTGCCTAGGACTAAATCTAACAAAAAACATAGAATGTTTTCAGCTGCTAGAAAAAGAAAATTGTACAGCTCAATGATGTCAACGATAGGCTTCCCACTTTTTTGCTCCTCTATCAAAGCTGCCTTCATGGGCGTGAGATCTGTAAAGTCACACTGGGCTCTACACTCACAAGGCCCCATGCTTGGTTTAGTGCTGTGCTGTTTGTAAAGTCTCGATACTTTATCTTTGAACTTGTGTTTAGTACATGAAGTATGATGGGAGAGTGGACCGTGTGTGAACAGAGGAGAAACTTGCACTATGAGTGTCTGTCATTCTTTGCCACTCCGTTTGCATGTAGTCTTTGTGATGTCACATGAGCCTGGAATTCCAGTGGACCCAGGATGTCTGGGAGTTTGGCAAGACTGAAAATGAGCACAAGTTAAGTGTGTTTTGTCTGTGACTATGTTGGGGAGATGACTGTCCAGAGAGGCTACACTTTGCATTCAAACCAAAACTTTCTTCAAACACAGAAAGGAGGCAGTGCTAGTCTAAGAACCATGAACAGCTAAGGAACCTATCATATCCTTTCATTTTCATGCCACTTTCCTGCAGTAGCCATTTCATTACTACTGAAAATGATGACATAGAAGGAAAAGGAAAAATAAGGCAACTCATTGTACCTCTTCCTTTCTGTGCTTCCTTACTCATCAGCAAGTTGAAGGGTAGGGAGTGTTGGTAGGATGTGTGCCAAGCAAAATATTAAATAAAGACAACTGAGTTAGTCTTGTGCAGTGTTTCCAATGTTCTGGTAAGAACTAAATACATATGCATGCGTGTACGAGCTATGAAATACAAATAGTGCAATTTTTTTGTGACTCTGCATATGAATCAAATGCTCTTATGTTGCATTTAAAACTGGCATTGCACAATATAAAGTACAATGGTAAAGTTCAGGCTAATAATTTGAGATTTTAATTTTTCTTTATGGAGAAACACTATTACATAGCAACTAAAAAATACCATGCCAAGTTGAGAAAGAGTCTATGGAAGAAAGGAAAAGGCTTTATATTTTAGTACCTTTAATAACACTTTTTTCCCTGAATTTTGAACAAGGGCTCTGCATTTTCAGTTTTTACTGGGCTCTGAAAATTATGTAGCTGGCTCTGCCTGCCACTCTTAGTTTATTGCTTACTTACCCTCCAGCCCTTCCTCCATAATAGTTGCCCCATAATTGCAAGATAGCTCTGAAGGTTCCAGGCATCAAGTCTATGTCTGAGGCCAGGAAAAGGTGGAAGAGGTGGTGACAGCAAGCTTTTCTTTTGTAGTCATTGCCCTTATCAGGAATTTAAGTCTTTCCAGAAGCATTCAGCCAACTTTGGGCCCCATGAATGCTTTTAGTTGCAAAAAAGAGTGAAACAGTGAGCATTTGGCGTAGAGGAATAGAACCATCCATGACAATATCTGGCAAAGAATACTGTGTAAGCCAGAGGTTGGGCAACTTCTTCTGTATAAGGATCAGTTGGGCTTTGGTGGCCATATATATATATATATAGTCAGTCTCTGTTGTAACTACTCAACTTTGTTGGTGTAGCGTAAAAGCCGATATGGACACCATGTAAACAAATGGGCAGGGCTTTGTGCTTATCGATAAAACTTCCTTTACAAAAACAAAAACTGGATCAAATCTGGCCTATGGGCTATAATTTGCCAACCCCTGCACAGAGCTTTATTTTCCTCTGAATACCAAATAGTAGACCATGGGGTTGACTATAGTTAAGTAGCAGCTATTTATTGAATGCCTACTGAGTTTTCATCACCTGAAGCTGGGCACGTGGCCATCTCTAAGAAATGGTATGTTGTTATTAAGGAAGAAAAGGAAGAATTTTGTTGGGAAGGAAAGGAGCAGAATCTGCCACAACACAAATGAAGACTTGACTAAAAGGAAAGAGATAGAAATGCATAGATAGAAAGCCTTAATATTGTCAAGATAATCACTTTGCTTCAAACTTATCCATAAATTCCATTAAATGCCAATAAAAGTTCCAGTAAATTTTTTATGGAACTTGAGCAGTGGACCTTAAAATTCACATGGAAAACAAAGAATTAAGAATAGCCTAGATAGTTTTGGAAATAGATAATAGAAATATCGGGAGATTTGTCCTACCAAATATCAATACTTGTAATCAAGCTGAACTAATTAAGATAGTGATATTAGTTCTGGCCAAGAAAGATGAACTAATCAAACAAAAAAGAAGATCTAGGTACAGATCTATGCATATTTGTCAGAAGAGGCATTAAAATGGGGAAAGTATGGATGATCCAATACATGATGAGCAGAATGAGGTAGTCCACTGGAAAAAAAATTTAGATTCCCATCTCATCCCAATCACAAAAATAAACTCCAGGTGAATTAAAGATCATATATGTGAACAGTAAAACATTGGTACTTTTGGTATAAATTTAAACTCAAAGCAGGAAAAAACTTAAGAAATAAGACACAAAAAACATAAGCAAAAAGGAATATTTTGATGACTTTGTTTTTATTAGAATGAAAAGCTTTTACAGAATAAAAGACATCAGAAGCAAAGTGAAAAGACATTCCAGGGAGTGGTGGACATTAGCAAAGCATATAATGAAAAAATGGTTAGATCTGGAATATATAAAAACAATTGGAGAAAAGTGAGTGAGTGATGTTCACCAGAAATTCACAGAAGACCCTGAGAGGCCCACAAACATATGAAATTGATTCTCAATCTCGCTAGCATCAGGGAAATGGAAACAAGAACAACGCTCAGATTTTATTCATACTCGTTAGATAGGAAGTAATTTTTAAAAAGTGAAAATTCAGGAGTTGGCAAGTATGTGAATGTTTAAAATTCTCAACCACTGCTGGCGGGATTTAGAATAGCAAATAATTGGAAACAACCTAAACATTCATCGATAGAATAATAGTTTCTATCTATCTATCTACCTACCTATCTTATCTATTTATCTGTTTGTGTGTGTGTGTGTGTATATATATATGTGTGTATATAGTATGTGTGTGTATATATAGTATGGGTATATGTGTGTATATATATACACACACATACTATATACATACATATAGTGGTATATTCATATAATGAAATTTCAGCTACTGAAATAATAAATTATAGTTACATGTATCAAAATGAATGTAACCAAAAACTAAATATAATGCGGTAAGAAAAAACAAGTTGCAGAGTACTGTAAATATCATGATACCATTTAAACAGAGTTTAAGAACATTGATAACAATAGTGCATTTAAATGTATACATCATATTTAGCAAAGGTATAAAAGATGTTCACAGGGATGACAAACATTGAATTTAGGATTGTGGTTACATCTGAGGAAGAGGGAAGAAAAATGAGATGGGGTGGGCAAGGCAGGGGAAACAGCGGAATTTAGCTGCATTCTGTAATGTTTTACTTCTTAAAAACAAGCAAAATATTTGAATCAAATATTGCAAAACATTGGGATTTGGCAAAGCTGATTGGCAAGTAAACAGGTGTTTATTTTTTCCTCCGTGTTTTTTGGTATGTTTGGAAATGCTTCATAATGCAAATTTTAACTACCCTGTGATGATAACTGCCTTTGACATATTTGAATATTTTATAGGACTTATCCCATGCCTTGTTATTTCTATTTCTGTAAAATGGTGTGGATTGTGAGTCCGTTTCAAGCATTACTTTTTGTTGAGGCTCCAGCCTTCTCAAGGCTCATTTAGATAAGGCAGATGAGTACTAAGAATCTTACCATTCCCAGCAATGATACAAGGTTTGGGCCAGGTTAACCATCTTAAGCAATAGGAAGATTCCTCATGGGGCTACACATCCACTCGCGTGACTTGCTGGAATGACAGCCTTGTCCCAGATCTTAGCTTCTTTGGCCAGACCCTGATATTGTTCTTTCCGTTCTCCGCACACTGTACTGCACCAGCCCAGATGGCTCTCCTAGAACCATATGGCCTTCATGGCCTCTGCCTAGAAACTCTTGCTGCTGAGACTCACCATTAAATTAGACCATCTTGTGCTGCAAAGCCAGCTGGGATCAGGTCTTCATGTGTCACGCCCCTCGGGCTTTTGCAGCAGACCATGCCTTGGGGACCGACTTAGAGCTGAGTTAGCTCCTGTGTCCATTGCCAACTTGCTCCACAGCTAGAATAGCTGAGACGCTGCTGTGCATGCCCATTACTGCAGCATAATAATTATAACACCTCTTTCCACACAAAAATATCTTAGTGAGGACGATGGATTATATAGTCACCCTATTCATAGCTCATGTCTGATTCTGCATCTTTACCAAAGGGGGTTATACTCAGTGTTCTCCAAAGCAGCTTCCAGTAAAAGCAACAGCCTAAAGATAAGCTTGCATTTGTGGAGCATGGAAAGCTTATTTCTCTGTGAAGTCTCCAAATAAGACGTGCAGAAAAATCTAAATGTGGTATTACATACACTGGAGTCACAACTATTCATTGTGAGGTATGTCGCATGATTTTATTATTTAAGAGTTAAGAAAACCAACATTTCAAAATGTTACTTTAGTTTATAGAGTAGAATAAGTTACAGGTTGTCTATTACTACATTAAATGCTTACTTGCATTACATGTACTTTCTTGATAAAGGGAAAAAATGTGGAATCATAGGTGATGATTCTATTCTTATAGTTGCTTGGGCTAAAAAACTTAGAGTCATCCTTGATAGTGCTTTCACCCACACCTCACACCTAACTCATTAGAAAGTCCATCAGATCATACCCCAAATCTAACCATACTGCCCCCCATCTCCACTACTCCTGCCTTGGTGGCACCCCCACTATCTTTCTCTTGGATCATTGCCTTAGCTTCCTCCTAAGTGGTCTCCCTGCCTCAGCCCTTGGCCTTCTGGATCTAGTACACAACAGCTGGAACAAACAGATCACATCACTCTTTGCTTTGAACACATCACATCAACAGATTCTTATCTGAAACTTAAAAGAAATCTCAAATATCATCTTCTCCCATTATCCCCTAGGGAGACTGGCTTCCTCCCCTTCCTGGAACACATAAAGCTCCTGGCTTTGCTCCTGGCTTTTCTCCCTGAACTCATTTCTCCCAGATATCTGTATGCTTCCTCACTTCCTGCAGGTCTCTTCTCAGATACCACCCCATCAGAAAGGATGTCCATGGTGACCCTATCAAAAATAGCACCCTACTTCCCATGCCCCCTCTCACGGAATCCTCTAATCCCCAAACCTGATTAATTTTATATAACACTTCCATCTCCTGATATGTTATACATTTATATATTTATTGTGCATCTTGTCTCATGTGAGAGAGCAACATATGACAAACAGTGGGGAGAGGGTCGGTGAATTGATTATAATCCTGGTTGTATTCTTGAGTCAGCGTCTCTCACATGAATAATACTTAATGCGTGTGCATGCATGCATCTGTTCCAATAGTACGAGGTAATAATGTGGCACGTGCTTTCTTTGACCCCAGAAAATCCATGGCCCTGCCTTTGTTGTTAAATGACAATATAGCAGGTGGACTTCTTGGCTCTGATGGCAGCTGGCTGATTTGCCCTTCCTGCCACTCCCACTGAAAACTCTTGGAAGCACAAAAATTGATGCAGAGTTCCAACAACATTGGAAACTAGGAATATCAGAGAATGGATTGCCAGACACTGGGAAGAATTTCAGTAACTACAACACAGATGGGGCTGGATTGGCAAACCATTAGTGGCTGACACTTACTTTGAAATTGCTGAAACAGAACAGCAGGCCAGACAGGAAGAGGTTCAGGCGCCCAGGTGTCCAGCGTGGAAGCTGGCTGCCGATACAAACTTTCTGCTGATAAAATAAAGATGAGATATAAAAGTGACCATTACAAAAATTAAGATCATTTTATTATTTTATAACACGACCTACAGCCAGTGCCATGCAACATACTGTTTTATTTTATCTACTATTTGTGTCAATGAGATGTATTTATAATATGTAATACATAGTATTTTATGTAGCAGCTGTAATAGGAGTAGTTATTATCCTACATTGTAGATTGTGTATTTTTGATCTATCCATTTTGTGGGCGTATTGTGGTCTACATATTTTTATTGGGTATGTCTGATATTTTTTTGTTGAAACCACGTGGCAATCTTAAGAAAGATAAGAACCACTTTTCCACCATGCATGTCTAGGGGCCAATTCAGAGGTGAGGCTAAGTAGAGAAGGCTTCCTTGTCCACATGGCAAATACTTTCTGTGAGTGACCACATCTATTTTCAAGACTGGCTTCATGGACATACAAACAACCTGTGCAGTTTTGTGGGGCCCATGCTTAGAAGCACTTGGTTTGAGGCTTTTCTGTTGCCATCTTGAAATTCTTAATCATTTTACTTTTGAACTTGTGTTTTATAAGTGACGTCCGATAGGACAATGGGACTTATATGTGAATGGAAGAGATGCATGCAATGTGAGTATCTATCGCCTCTTACTGCCTTATTCAAATATAGCATTTGTAGTTCCTGCTAAGTGGATTCCATGATTTGCTTACTGTGTGCTTAGGGCTTTGCTCTTAGGAGGGCTCTCACTTGGTTTAACGTTCTGCCATCATCATCTTGAAATTCAGAATAATTTTTTTCTTTAAACCTGTGTTTTGTAAGTGAATTTTGATGGACAATGGAGCACAGGTGTGAACAGAGGATGTGCATGTAATGTGTTCATGTGTCTGCTGTTGGCTTCCACACCATTTTCATGAGCACAGAACTCCAGCGGACCCACAATGTGTGAGAGTTCAGCGAGCTCCAAAGAGAGTATGAGTGAGTGTGTTGTGTTTACAGCTGAGCAGGTGGAGGAGACGGTGGCCCCGAGAGGCTATGCTTTCAATTAGAACCACAACTTGCTTTGAATGGAAAAGGAACACAATGCCATTCTAACCAACATGAACAACCAGGGAACACTATCATACCCTTCCTTAATGTAAAGGACTGAATTGCGTCTCCCCAGAACTCGTACACTGAAACCCTTACCTCCTAGTACTTCGGAATACGACTGTATTGGGATATAGGGTCTTTAAAGAGGTGATTATGTTAAATGAGATTAGTAGAGTGTTCTCTACTCTAATGGCTGCTATCCTTATATGAAGAGACAGTCTGGACTCACACACACACACACACACACACACACACACACACACACACGGAAGGCGGCCATCCACAAGGCAAGGAGAGAGGCCTCAGAGTGAACCAACCCTGTTGACACCTTGATCTTGGACTTCCAGCTTTTGGAACTGTGAGAAACTAAATTTCTGTTGTCTAGGTCACCCTGTCTGTAGTACTTTGTTGTGGCAACCTTACCAAACCAATGCACGTGTTTCTTTATATTAGCCATTCGCTTATGCTGAAAATGAGGAGAGACAAGAATTAAGGGCAACCCATAATTTCCTTTCCTCTCAGTCCTTCCTGACTTACCAGTGAGCTGAAGGTACAGGGTGCTGGTAGAATGTGTATGAATCAAGAAGCAAAATAAAAACAACTGAGTCCATTGTGTGCAGCATTTCCATTGTTCTGGTAAGAACAAAATATGCATTTGTTTCTTTGTTGATTAAAGCATTAAGTAATGCAATGAATGCGAAGCACTTCCTTCAGTGTCTATACAAGATTGGTGGTAACTGAGACTATTTTAATTTAAGCTTGGGCCTAATGAAAGAAAATAGAAAATACTCCCTTAAAAGTAAATACATATAATGTTAAGTGATGCGATATATGGTTTAAAGACATATATCATATTAATGAAAATTTGAAAGTTAACAGCAAGGGTAGGCTAAGGAAAGGGTCCAGCATTTCTCTTCTGCTTTGGGACTATCAAAGATATTTTTTCCAGACTTTTCCAGATTCATCTACATAATTTTACTGCTTTTGCTCTGGATCTATCCCTTCTTCCCTTTCTAAGTATATTACTTCTTTGTATCCCTCTCTCCTACATCATACACTGCCCTCTCCACTGCATCGTTTATATTGACATGCATGTACATTCTAGTGCCTTCATCCAAAATGCTGCCACAAAATCCAACAAAGCAAGCTCTTTCTTGCCTTGACATCCTGACAAGTTTCCTCTGATGGCTCTTCTATCTCTACCAACCTTTAAAGTTTGAGGCATCTCAACACCTGGTCTGGAGTCCTTTAATCTTCCCTCCTTTCCTCCTTCTCTCTTGCCTTCTCCGTTTCTCTCCTTTCTGTTTTCTCTCCCTAGATGGTTTCATTAAGTGCCATCTAAAGGCTGATAATTGCCAAGTCGTACAAATGCAGCATAGACTTCTCCCCAGAGCTGCAGACCTGAAACCTTACTGGTAATGGATCACTTCACTAGAATGTCTTGTGGGCACATCCAGGATAACAAGTTTAATGCAGATTCTGCATTCCATTCCTAACCTCTCTTCCTCTTCCAGTGGGCTCCAGGATAATGAATGACACCATCCTTCATCCAATTGTTCAGGCCACAAACCCAGGTTTCATCTTTCTGTCTTTTCCCCATTATTTGTCATTTTGAGAATCCTCCCTACTCTTTTCATTTTCACTATCACCATTTTAATCACAGCCATTATTATCACTTGCCTGATAGACTGCAAATCTCAATTCTCACCCTTCTCTTTGACTCCTGCCCTTCCCCATTCCACAACAGCAAGGATAGATTTTTAAAACATAAATTAGATCGTGACATTCTTACTTAAAGCCTCAGCGCTTTCTCATTACACATTGAAAGATCCAAACTGCTTACCTTGACCTGGGAGTAGGGTGACCATACAACCCAGTTGCCTAATTTAATCCTGGCTTTTGCCTGTTGTCTGAGCATAATTATCAATAGTGCCCCCTTTGGATCAAAAGTGTCTCTTATTGGATGATAAATTACTTGGACACTCTAGTGAACTGATGTCTGCCTTCTTCTCCAACCTCATCATATAATACTTTTAACCTTACACTTTACCCACTCTGGCTTAATTTTTTTTTTTTTTTTTACCACACTGAGCCTTTTCTCTTCTGCATTGTTTTTTATTCTGCATAAATTGCTTAAAATGCTCTTTCCCCTGTATTTTTTTTTCATTCTTTGGTTCCAGTTCAAAAGTCACCTTCTCAGAGAGGACTTCCTTAAGTGTGCCATACAACGTTGCTTCCCCTACTTCCTCATTCAATAACTCATTGCTTTGGTTAGTTCCCATGGCACTTAGTACGGTAAACACCTTGTTGACTTTTTTATTTGTTTAGTGCATATACATCCTTTCTTAGAAAGTAGTTCCCTTTGTGTAGAACCTTATTTAGATCTCTCTTATACCTTTAATGTGGTATTGAATAAAGAAGTATAGTTAATATGTGGATTCTAAAATCAAAATGCTAGTAGCTAGTAAAATGGAAAACTATAGGTGTACCTGCTCATTCATTAGAAAACAAACAAACAAACAAACAAAAACTACAAAGAAAACATAGTTAACATAGTAAACTCAAGGAAACAAACTAAGGACAAATAAGAATAAGAAGTAAAAGCATATGTGACACATCTGTAACTAAACATATTAGTTATTACAATGAGCAAAAAAATGGGTTAAATCACCCACATAAAAGTGGACTCAGAATGAATTTAAAAAGTTTCCAGTTATATTTTGATTACAAGAGATACTTGTCAAACTAAATGACATGTCTGATTATTTTCATTTATTCAGATGATAAGGTTTCACTTGATAAGTATTGTGAAAAGGTCCAAAGAACAATCCCCCCCTTTGGGTTATGCCCTTCAAATAAATATTCTTTCATCACAGAATTTTTTTCACTTATGATCAAACTATTTTCTAAAGTAGTAAAAGCCACCAGGCTTTAAGCAGGATGGGTTATAGAAAGTTTAAATTCAGACACACATATGCTCTTGACATGCAAATGTGGGACTGGCTTTCTGGTGTGTAATTTCAAAGCTTTAGTATCTCCTTGTGAACGGGCAGCCCAGCCTTCTTTTCTGACCTCTGTCCATCAGCCCTGAGCAACCTCCATAAGGTCCAGCCTGTGAGAAGATGAGGCAGCCCTCCTGCCATGCGGTTGTATGACCTCTGCTTGCATTTACAGGAAGTAGTTCTATCAGTCCCTTAAATGGCAAATGGACTCAGAAATCGCTCAGGGGTTAGGCTACCTCCCTCACTCACCCCATTTCTAAACTCATGGGACCGCCAACCCTTTACTTTCCCCTGGACTAGGGACTCTATTTTTCCTCCACTACTAAATGCATGGGGAGGAAGTGGCATCGATCTTGCTTTTCTTTCACTTGGAACTGGTGAGTGTGCTCTCCGTGTAGGGACATACTCAGAGGAAAAGAATAGTTGCTATTTCAGAAAGAGAGGTAGGCAGAATAACGCGTACCCCCATCTCCCAGAGATGTCCACATCCTAATCCCAGAGGCTGTGAGTATGTGAGGTTAGGTGGCAAAGGGGAACTAAGATTGCTATTTAGCTGACCACAAATAGGGAGAGTATCCTGCATTGTCTGGGTGGCCCAATGTAATAATAAAAGGATCTTCACAGTGGAGGAAGGAGACAGAGGATGAGACAAGTCTGAGACAGATGTGACTACAGGAGATCACAGTGATGCACTGTGAGATGAACTTGACCCACAGTTGCCGGCTTTGAATATGGAGAAAGGAGCCACAAGCCAAGGAATGCGGGCAGCCTCCGGAAGGTAGAACAGGCAAGGGAAGGGGTTCTCCTGCAGAGCCCTGAGAAAGGAAGGCAGCCCTGCTCACACCTGGATTCCAGCCCAGTGGAAGCTGCATTTGAGACTTCTAACCTACAGAGCTGTGAAACAATGTTGATTTCCTCAAGCCACTAAGCTTGTGCTAATTTGTTACTACAGCAATAGGAAACCAATAGAACCTAGACTAGGGAATACCAATTTTCATTGGGAAACATTCCCAGAGTCAGTGCTTAACTTTTCATGATGTAAAACTACCATTTAGTTTTTACTTGCATTCCGTAGATATGTAATCATTTTACAAAGACTGATGTGATTTTCTTGCAAAAAACCATAATATTGTGGAAGGTTCTTTTTTCACTTTTTGATTTCTCATACTCTGATACTATGTGCTAGTGGAGGTGTTTAATTGAGGTAGTTATCTATAGGTTTCAATTTTCACCTGAATTCTCTCGAAAATTGAGAAAAAGTTACTTCCTGGGAGCTTGAATGGTCCACATTTAATACCATTTGTTTTAGTTCTTCTTTTTTTGCTTGTTAAATTTTTTTCTAGTTTTTTTTTTTTTTATTTCAGAATATTACAGGGGTGCAGTGTACCCGTTAGGTGTGAATTATACCCTGTTTTAATACATTATCTTTCTAATTAGTCTTCTTCAGGATAGTAAAAAAAAAAAAGCAGCAGATGTTATGCAAATCATTTGCAGAGAACATACACATGCATATAATTTTAGAAGCAAGAGGGGAAACTGGAAAGGCCATTCTCACAGGACCACACCTGCCCCAGGGAGCAGCTGGAACTCTGGTCTTTGAAGAGCTCCACAGAAAAAGGTCACACAGCTCCTCTTGGTGACTGAGGGGACTCTATCCTAATGTGCCTTTCCTTCCCCAGTGTGTGTGGGTAAACATATTTCAAATTGCTCCTAGGTACCATTATTTGCCCCCGAGGGATTTTCTATCACATAAAAGGTCATGTTTAATTAGAGTAGCACAGGCATGCTATCAGTCACAGTCATGGAGAAAAAAGTCACTTGCAATTTTTCACAGAGGAAAATGTTGTGTCTACAATGGTACATTATCTCTACCTCTAAAACTGCAAATTACCTATCAGAACCTATCTGCCCACAGTCTCAGGTTCCTCCCTTCTCTTCTGGATAGATCTGTATCTTCCGGCCAGTATTCTTCTTATAGCTTTATAAGTGGTAACTTTTTCTCAGCTTAATCCTAAAGCCAGGGTTACCTTTTTCTGTCATACCAGGTCCCATCCAAGCAGCAAGCATGGAAGAGTATCCAACAGAATGGCCCACATCTTAGGCCAGGTCCATGTCACTGCTGCTGGGCCTTGGGTTCTTCACTCAGGTGTCATTAATTCCCAGCATCAAGCCTCATTCTTACTGCTTGGGCCTGGTGACTACTCACTCCCTGACTTCTGGAGATAACTTTGTCCCTTGCCTTTATCTCCTGGATGACTAAGTTCATCCTAGGTTCCAAGCCTTGACTGTGCTTATGTTACTGACTCCCACTTTAGAGGCCACCATGTGCTGGAATGACAATGCCACGGCTAAAAGGGACCATAGTACAGAATGTCTCACCTTCTCCTCGTAATTATGAAAATTACTAGTTGCATTAGTCTGCCAGGGATGCTATAACAGAATGCCATAGACTGGGCAACTTTAGACAGAAATGAAATTGTTCACAGCTCTGGAGGCTCAGAAGTCCAAGGTCAAGGTTCTAGCTGATTGAGTTTCTGGTGAGGTCCCTCTTCCTGGCTTGCAGATGGCTGCTTTGTACTCACAGGGTCCTTGCTCGGAGCATGCATGGAGAGAGAAAGGGAGCTCTCTGGTGTCTCTTCTTATAAGGCTGTACTCCTTTTTGATTGGGGCCACACTCTTATGACCTCACTTTACCTTACTTATGTCCTAACAAACCTCACTAAATACAGTCACCTTGGGGCTTAAGGCTTTAGCCTGTGGATTTTGGGAGCACATAATTCCATCCAAAACACTAAGGGAGTCAGTATTTCCACCACCATTATGAAGAATTTTGAAAAACATGAGCCTTTTAAAACTAATAAAGTTCACTTGGGTCTAGGAAATTTTTACTGGCTTCTAGTAAATGACAATTTGAAACCATTAAAAGCCAGTTATTTTTCACACACATATAACTTTAATTGCTTAATGCTGCAGTAAAACTATGTTCCTTTTCTAGGTTATGTTCATGCAGAAGCATTTATCTGCCTTGGTCCTGATATCGTATGAAGCAAAGTCTATAAATAAGAGCTAACACATGTCCCCTGTCTCCAGCCCTTACCAGGTGGGGCCATTTCATTTTGATCAGGGTTCTCTTCCCATTAGGGAACAAATGTAACTTCATATATGTATCCTGCATTATAGGTAATTACTGCCAAACAAGTGGAATAGCACTCTTCTGAGTAGAAAGCATTATGGACTTTATAAAATAATCATGTCTTTTATTTGTACAGAGCTTTACAGTTTATAAAGTGTTTTCATATTTCTGTTATTTGAACTTCACAAAACTATGACATAGATAGGACAGTTATCACTGTCTCTATTTTTCTGGTAGAAATGGAGGCTCAAAAGCTACTTTTCCAAGTCAGTTAGTATGCTTCACAATTGGGATTAGAAACCAGTGTTTATGAACTCTGACTTCAGTGTTCTGTCTGTTACACCACTGCCCCCATAAATATGCTTGCACAATCAGTCCTGGGATAAACCTACAAGTACACGGTGATGTCTACTTGGAAGAAACGAATGCTGTTCTTCACAAACCCTTCATAACCTTTGCATGAGAAAGCTGGCCCCCGCCATCCATAATGCCCCAGGTTCTGTATGGAATCCACATCTGCAGCGCACTATGGCACACATTTGTGGACACTTCCGTCTTCTGACTAGACTATACACTTCCGGAAAGATATGACCACATTTCTTTAGGATTTGTCACAGAGCAGGTACTCAATAAATGAACAATAGCAGCAGCTAACATTAATGGAGGGCTTCATACATGCTATGCATTATTTTAAGTACTTTTGTTTAATTAATTTAATCTTAACCAACACCCTATGAGTATATAGACACTCTTCATTGTACAAGTGAGGAAACTGAGTCACAAAATGGTAAATTACTAGCCCAGATGATGCAGCTTAGGATGCAGTGCTACTATGGAGTTCCTGCTCTTACTCATGCTTTCATATCACTAGTCAATGAAAATTTGCTGTGCAGATGATGAGTGGTGTGGAAGACCTCTTAGATGTAATGAAGTTCCTTTTCTGTTAGACACATTTGCATAATGATCTCCTAAGATTCTATCATAATCTTTGTTGATGTCTCCTCTAAAGAACAAAATCTCCTGGTGGTGGCATTGGACATAAGCAAATCATGCTTGCTGGGAAAGGCGAGTATATATGAGGACAGAATTTGGCTACTAGATATGGGTGATGTTAAATTCTCCTGGTGAATCTCATTATTGTAGCTGCAGATACACCAACTAACCTGCAAAGTAAATATTAAATAGAAGCTTGCTGCTCCACTCAGGGAACAATTCAATGGAGGAACGTGGCACCTAAAGATGGTTCTCAATTCTCTTTCCCTATTAAGCTGTCCTTGTGCTTACTTTATGCCACAACTTCTCAAGTATCTGAGCGGTCTGGCTCAATTCTACTGACAATTTGGGCAAACTTCAGTGATCTCCCTGCTCACAGATTCGGAAGGGCTCTTCTGTAACCCAGATATACTTTCCTTTGTCTTTCCCAAAGTTTTTATCTTGGTCTCAGATTTCTAATTTATAAAATGAAGATAATAATAGTACCTACCTTTATAAGCAAGGCCATGGGCGAATATGCTACCACGAAGAAACTGCCCAAAATCCAGTGGCTCCAACACAATAATGTTTACTTCTTTCTCATTTAGCAGGCTTGGGGGGCAGGTAGTGCAGCACAGATAGACAGTTCTGCTCTGTAAGATCATTCCAAGGAACCAAGTTTCTTCTTTTTTGTTGCTTTACCGTCATCATGGATGTCGTCCTCATTCGACCAACTGTGGCTGTGTCATATTCCAGCTCAGTAGGGATGGGGAGAGAAGAAGTAGAGGGCAAAGAATTTCACGCTTGAAGCTCTGACTCGAGGGGGCAGGGGGTCATGGGCAATATACATAACCTTAACACTTGTACCCCCATAATATGCTAATATATATATAATATATATAATGTAAAACATCTCAATGATTTTTAAAATGTATTACATGTTGAAATGATAATATTGTGTTTGGAGCTATTGAGTTAAATAAAATATGTCACTGAAATTTAAAAAAAAAAAAAGAATTTCTTAATGAAGGATGTGACTGAGACATTGCACATGTCATTTCCACTTTTGTCCCATTGGCTGGGATTTAGTTACAGACCCGTTTCCAGCAAGGAAGGCTGGGAAATGTGCCTGGGAGCTGGACATCTGTATACCTGGGTAAAACTTGGCATGGGAAAGTTCTTGCCCAGAGGCTCACCTCTTAAACTTGGTCTTCCCAGCCTCCAGAACTGTGAGAAAGAAATTTCTACTCCTTGTAAGTGACTTAATCTGTGGTATTCTGTCAGAGCAGCACAAGGAGAACTAAGACAGGTGTATACCATTCAGTTAAAGCATGAGTCAGGGGACAAAAGGCAGGAGAAGTCTAGATTTGGAGTGAATGCAAACGTTTGGTAAGTTGGAAGACTCAAACTATCAAATCATCTTGGAAGAAAAGACTTGGGACTGAGTTTTCGGGCTATCCCCAGAGAGGCACTATGAAGATGAAAAGAAGGCAATACTGGAAAAAGAGGCAGAGTAATCAGGGAAAGATGGCACAGCGGAAAGAAGATTGGATTTGGAGCTAATCCTGATCCTGCCATTTTTTAACTGTTTGACTTTGGGCAGTTTAAGAGAACCACCAGTGGTAAGTTTTCTCATAAGTGTAAGGGATTGGGAATGATGAGCTCTATGTTCCTTTAGAGTGTGAAGAGTTGATGTTCTTAGTTAGAAAATGTGGGAGAGTTTTAAGAATGAAATGTTGGTTAAAATTGTCAAACACAGTGACACTCTGCCTGTCTTTCCCCTCACCCCTGCCTCTGCCATGCCACTTCAGATTCTAGTAACCCCACACACACAAACATTGATAAGCACATCAGTAAAAGTAACTGCACAGTAAATAATGTTTCATGCTTCACTAGAATTGAATGAAATAAGTGTTAAATATTATAGTCTGACAAATTTTATTTGTCATTGCCTTCCTATGTCTAAAAATGCAGAAGTCACAGACTGGCAGACATAATATTCCAAATGCAAACATAAATAGGGAAGCCATGTTTTCTATTTATAAGGTACAGTCCACTTGGAGATGCAGGACAAGCCCATAGGTTTGACACGCTTCAATACAATAACAGCTTTGAGGATTTAAAATATTATCTTTTGATTAAAGAAGATTTTGTTTTCATATGAATATGAATGTATTTTATTTTGCTGGGCTATGTCTATTTGTAGGAGCTTTCCAGATTATAGTGCCTTGATTTTTTTTTTTCCTGTTTTCAAAATGAAATTCAAGGACCTAATATGTAAATGCAATATTGAGTCTATCTACTGCCAAACCCCAGAGCTCTAAAACATTAATCCAATTTCCTCACCAAATGAAAAAAATCCAAACCCAGCGAGCATTAGTATTTGATGGAAAAATTAAATCGTTCTCAGCTGAATCAAAAAAACATCTTGTTAACAACCAGTTTAGCAATATATTAATAAAGTTCTTATGAGCCATTTTCTTCTTAATCTTTTATGGAAGGATAGTTTTTCAATTTAATCCCTTTTTTATTGGGGGAGAGAAAGTTGACTTTGGTTCTTCTGTTTAGTAAAAGGGTCTCATTAATGTAAAAAAATTTCCCTCACAATTTATAAATATTAAATAGCATTGTTAATTTTTTAAGAGACAAGAATCGTATCTTTGAGATAGTAAAAACTAAAGTATATTTCAGAAATCCTTCTTTAGAAGATTATTCGCACTTGAATCAATATAAATATATTACTTGTTAGGGTTATGGTTGTATGCTCTGGGCTAAGAGATTCAAACACTGGCCCTATAACTTTTGAGTTGGGTGACTTAGGGAAAGTTACTTAAATTCTTATAGCTTTGCCTTCATTATCTATAAAATAATGATAATAATAGCATCTATCTCATAGAATTGTTTTGAGAATTAAGTGAGAGAATACATGTGATGCCATTAGCACATACAAAGTACTACAACTGTAATACTACTCTCAGGGCTATGATTGTTATCTTAGGTTAGCAGAAAATTAAATAGGGAAATTATGAATCCCAGAAAGTCAAAGCTCAAAAATAATCTCTTCAAGCTAATCTGAACATAGCTGGCCACATCTATGATAGCCTCAAAAGATGCTATCTTTTGATCTTTTGATGCTATCATAGAGACACGCTATTAGAGAGAGCAAGGGTAGTTGCACAATTGGCTGGAAAATGTTTTAACAAGAAAAATATCTAAGAATACTTACCTGCTATGTTTGTTTACATTATCTATTTATGTCTAGCCTCATTCTAAAAATAACATAAGGTGGTAATTAGAAGATTAAAGTTTGGTCAGTTAAACTTAAT